GTTTTCCAACCAATTCCGTCACAAATATCATGTCACGAATAAAAATTTATACATGACTTTTTATCATCAAATGTTGAGTCATCTGAAGATACTGTACCAATCCGATTTTCTGCTACAGAAGTTTAGGGAATAATTAAAAACTCCAAATTAGGTAAATGTCCTGGCAATGACCTCATTACAACCAAGACGTTGAAAGAGTCTTCACCTAAAACAACAAGATTTATTACTATCTCATTTAATTCTATTTCGAGGTTGAGAATATTTCCGGACGGATGCAAACTGCCAGGATTATCGTCGTCCAAAAGAAAAAGTAAAAGATCTATGTATGCTGAAATCATACAGACTCATAAGTTTACTTTCTACACTTTCAAAAATTTATGAGAAACTTTTGCTTAAAAAATTAAACAAACTTAAGCAAATTAGAATTCAGAATTAAGATTCAGAAAGTTGCTTTCGGCCATAGAACAGACTTATAGAATTATATAACCTAAATAAAAATAAAAATTATATAAAGTCCATTATATAAATAAATCGCTAGAAGAGAAGAATTTTTCAGCAGCATTCTTGGATATACAGCAAGCATTTGATAACGTATGGCATACTGGGCTATTCTACAAATTAAAAATTAATTTGACGTACTCTCTATATTTATTAATAAGATCATACCTGTCAAATAGGAGTTTTTATGCAAATATTTTAGACACTGAATCATGAAATAAGACAGTTTTCTCAGGTGTTCCACAAGGAAGCGTCTCGGGGCCACTTATATTTCTAATATACGCATCAATAACAACTAACACTTTGATCGCAATGTCTGCTGATGATACGTGCATTCTAGCCAGCCACATAGATTCCAGTTGTGCATCTGAATTACTCCAAGACCATTTAAATCTATTAGAGAATTGGAACAAAACTTCAAGAAGTCCATGTGAAATATCTCGGCATATACCTCGATAGAAAACTTAATTAGCAAATTCACATAAAAAAAGCAACAGCTTGAGATAAAAATCAAAAAGCTTTACCGGTTATTAGGGACTGAAACCAAACTAAGCTCATACAATAAACTACTTTTATATAAAACTTTATTCAAACCAATTTGGTGCTATGAAATGCAATTGTGGGGCAGTGCTCATAAGACTAATATAGAAATAATACAGAAATTTTTGAAAATTGCCTTAGGAGCACCAAAATATATCCCGGCTAATTCATCTCGACAAGAACACAACTACCATAATATAATGATATAATAACAAAAACAGCACATAAATATAGTCATAATCAAGCTTATCAGTCACCCAAATTCACTAGCAAACTCATTAATAACAGAACTATCGACGTAGGTTGAAAAGAATAGCTGCCATTTAAGTCATCAATTTAAGTCATCAAAAAATTATAGATATTAAAATAAATACAGCAAATCGTGTCTGAATCTTCGAAGTTTACCAAGACATCGAGGTTCGGGAAATTTACCACGTGATTTATATTCAGAGCCATAGGCAGAGTATGAAGATGATGGAAGGTCGAAGACAAAACTGTCATTTATTCCATTGGATGAATTTCTAACTGACCAGTACCACAACACTGCTATAGTCTGTTTTCCCACCATATATTTTATATATAACGTGTTTCCCTGTATTTTTTAAACTGGAGGTCAACACTGGGCAGGAAGTGTGTGGGGAATCAAGCAGGCTAGACATGCAGGAAAAAACAAAATGATTTGTCATATTTATTTATCATAAAATTTTGTAATTAATAAATTGTTCATATTTTCATCCAATGGATTTTATATTTTATACTAGCTGACCCGGCAAACGTTGTTTTGCTAAGTAAGGTATATTCTTAACAATTTCCAGAGAATCAAAAATATTAATACTAAGTGTATAAGGATGTGCTGTTTGAATGCTCTACACAATGAAGTATTATAAAAACAATAAACCCCATTAGTTGGTCTATATTTTGTCAATAAAATGTATACACTTTCTATAGAAAACATGGTATGATCAATCCAAGTCTTTTTTGGTCTTTTATTATAGATTTTCAAAAATAACCGTTTATATTCCGATAGCAAAGTCATGGGAATCAAGGTAATAGCTGGTTTACAACTTTTTTCTTTTACTTTCAAATATTGTTGTTAAACAATGCTTAACTGATTTTTGACACATTGGTGGTGGACCTTTTTGACCCAGGACCTTCATATATTACTATCTATTCTACGATAAATTCTAGGAAATTATAACTGGGAAAATGTTATTCAACAAAATGTCCATTTCATCGATACCAAATTTAGGTTCTGAATTTAAATAACATAAATAAAAAACAATATAACCTAGAAAATGTTATAAATACCAACGAATATATAATTATACAAATGAGAACTTTCAGAGCACCGTGTTTGAGAAAAATATGCCAACAAGTGCATTTTTATATTACCATTTCAAAAGAGTTGATATTTTGAGTCTCTAGTAACACTTGCGACCCGTTTACTAACGTTTTCGTATATAAATAAAACTACAAACAAAACTGCTTGCTACAATTCAATCATAATTAAATAATATTTACGTAAAACATCCTTTTAAACGTAATTGAACATCATCCGTATTATTTATTTATTAATTGTTAAATTCTTTATAATCCCGCAAAAATGGCAAGCTGTTGATCACAATTATTTTTTGTTGAGCTAATTGATCCAGAAAGTAATAAAATTTACACAATTACTGTTTCGGACCATTGATGATTATTAACGCTCACAGTATCCAAAACGAACGAAATTTAGTTATTGATTCTAAGCGCTTATCGGCCATCTTGAACACTAAAAATTTGTGCTTATAAGTGTGAGCGCTCACAGCGTGTAAAGGTGCGTCCACACCTAACGAACGAACACGAACGAACATGTCGAACAAGAAAATACAAAGAAGAACGAACAGGAACACGAACAAACGCGAAAAATTCCAAACGAACTTGAACAAGCGCTTAAAAGCAGTGAGCGCTTGAATTTTCGTTGTTCCTAGATGTTCCGTGAAACGCCAGTTTTATTATTGATATGGATGTAAGCTTTAATCATACGGCATTTTCACTGGTTTATGTGTGATTTTTGTTCGTGTATATTTTGTAAATATACTGTAAATAAATTATTCAATTAATTTCACTCAGTTTTTGTATTTAATATTTATATTTTGAGTCGTTTTCTTTCCTCAGCATTCATATTCGGAGCAAGCTGAACATTCCAGGCTTGAGCTAACTATACTCAATTTTCAAACTCTCATCCTCAACATATATGTTGAATGTCTATGTATGATAACAAGTTTAATATTTACTTGTAAAGACTGCAATTTCTTCTTTACTGCAGCTTCTGACATCCCAAACGTTTTGCCTACACTTTCTCAAGCATCGTTTTTTTTTCTAATAATTTTATAAAAAGGGTCTTTAGTCTCCCATATTATAGGAAACTTATCTATTTCATTTATGAATGATAAAATTACGTCATTTGACGATTCCATAATTTATTCAAAATTTTCAACCAATACAATAATTAAAAGTAAATATTATTAAAATTTTCAAACTGTACACAATAATTAAAAGTAAATATTATTAAATTATTAAAATTATTAAAATTATTAAAACAAAAATGTTCGTTTGCGATCGTTGTGACGTCCACACTGTACATACGAGTTCAAACATGAACGAACAATTCCCTTTGATGTACCGACAAGTTGCGGAACATTGCTCGCCATGTTTGTTTATGTTCGTTCGTGATCGTCGTGGCGTCCACACTATGCTGTCGCCGTTCGTTCTGGTACGTTCGTTTATGTTCGTTCGTGTTCGTTCGTTAGGTGTGGACGCACCTTAAGCGTCCAACGCGAATGCACCCAAAGAGGGTATAGTAATCTCTTTTAGCTCCGAATTTTTATGCAAATGTCAAAATCAAGCGTAATGCGTCGTCACCGGTAGGCGGCGCCACCATTCAAATAAAGCGTAAAAAAAGAAAAATATTGAATATTTTCAAATAGATTATTATAAATATTGTAATATCGTCTAATATTTATAAGAATTATATAAACTGAATTGCAAAGTTGAAATTATTTGTTTGAAGTATATTAGAACTTTAGTCAGAAAATAAATAAAATCTGAATTATTTTAGATATACTAAAAAAAATTTTTTTTTGGAAAACAAAATTGAAAAAAAAAATTTTTGAAACAAAAAATAGTTTTTTTCCAAAATCAATTATTTTGTTAAAACAAGCACAAAGTTCTTTGAATCAGTTAAATCGGACGCTTAGTTCTCTCAAAAACTGCCATTTTTTGCACATTTAGCTCTGTATCTTCGAAATGGCTGGTCCTGCCTTTGCCAAAAATTAATATCCAATTCTCCCAATCATTACTAATTCAATGTTTTTAGATCATTCAAATCGGATTCTCCGTTCTCTTAATAACTCGATTTCTATTTTCTGCACTCTTTGCCCTTTTATCTCCGTAACTTCTATCAATATGAATCGAATATTTTTTTAACCATTCAAATCAGTTAATCCGTGCGCTTGAAAACGTGAACGAAAAAACGCGGACACACAAAATACACACACACATCCATTTTTTCTGAGGTATGCCAAAATATTCAGAAACTTTCAAAACGTTGAGAAATGCAAAAATTTTCAATTTCGATTTTTGGACGATTACAATAACTTATCCTGCGGGAGGTTAATAATAAAAAAAAAAGCGTTTGTGGGTATGTGACTGATGTAAAAAAAATAGATAAAAAACTATTTCAGATACGAATTATATATCATAATAAAATTTCAGCTCAATCCGTGCTGAACTTTTTGAGTTTTTCAATCATACAAAAACCAACATACACAGATTTATATATATAGTTATATATGTGTGTGTGTGTTGTAAAGTGTGTGTGTAAGCGAGAGAGTTTGAGAGTGTTTTGCATCAGAATATAAATTTGGAAGTTGAATATATAAATTTAAATCTATAAATTAAAAGAACATATTTCTTATTAGGGACAACATTTGGATATTATCAGTTTCAACCGCTATAACGGCTGGTACAGTAATACGGGAAGAACGGATATGATAGTAGAGCAAATTATAAAAGAAGCAAAGGACTGGCACAAGAAATACCAAAAACCAGTTTTGATGTCTGAATATGGTGCAGACACCGTAGAAGGTTTGCATATAGTAAGTATACATAATTCTGATAAGCGTTACCTATAATTTATTCGTATTTATCAAAGAACATAGACAGCGTTTATGATTTTATTTTTAAATATTTGAAAATATTTTTTTATATTTTTTTAATATAGATAAGTTTGAAATTTACAATTTTCTTTCATATTGGTTTTATTGATTTACTAAAATGTACTAAGGCAACTTTAGTTACCTTAGCAATTCTCACTTGTCTCTTTGAAAAATAAGTAAAACACTTTTAAGAACTTTTCTTGGAGCCATATTATAAGTTTTTTTTTAGGTTTTGTACTGCAGTCAATAAAAAAAATATTATTCTAATAATTTAAAATGACAGATTATAAATTATAATATTGTATTATTATAATAATATTGTATACATTATAAATAAAATTCTTCTATAATGATGTATGAAAGAAAACTCCTCCTGAACGTTTATTCGGATTTTGATAAATCTTTCTGAAGTTTGTTAAGGGATTTTTTTATGATTTTTTGCATTATAGAAATATAGTTAGATTGTAGAAATAAATGGACAAATTACAAAAGACCGATTATGACATAAACATTGAAAATATTTGAGGCATTGATTGGCATTGAAAACAATTAAAAACTGTCATCTGCCAAAAATTTTACTTCACTTATGAGCTAAAATAATATTAGAATATAATATATTCATGATTATGAGTAAGAAAAATGTATTGTCTACATTATTTTTGTCGAAAAGCAGCTGAGATGTGCCAAAAATTAAAATAATATATGATGCAGTATATGGTTTGGCAGATGAACAGTCTGCGCAAGCGTCTTACGGGTATGGACAGTCAGTGAAGATACCCTATATAATTCAATTTGATAGATTATTATTTTTCAACTAATGCAGTCGTGTTTTGCCTTACTTCACTAAATCACAATACAATTTAAATTTACTTATTTAAAAAATTGTTTAGAAGTTTAATTGTATCAAATATTCATATGTTTGGCATTAGATACGGAATATTTACTCAAGTCAATGGAGCGTTTTCAGTCTGAATTTGTTGTGTGTTCCTCTTCGTATGAAGTTTTGGTTCATTTTACTCTCAAGTTCAAAAGTTAAAATAATTTAGACTCCTTTGCCACTTCCCGAGGGGTGACATCGCTTTTCAGTTGTGTTTTTTTTTTAAAAAATTAACTTTGCATATCGATAAAAACTAATTATAAGAAAAAAAATTTACATAATGTTTTTCAAAAAATCAAATACTTTTCAAGTTACTGACTACTGAAAATTCGTTTCTTTCTGGCGTTTCTCATCGTTTTCTGCAAATATCTCCAAAAATATACATTTTAAAGAAAACCATGTAATGAACAATATTATATCAATTACAATTTTCATAAATCGATGTTTTATGTGTTCTAGGAACAATGTTAGGATAGATATGAAGTGCAAAATCGTTTTTTCTAATACCGTTCGAAATTTAATTGTTGTATTTGAAGCCGTCTAGCGGCGAGATGTTGTTTCATATATTTTATGGGATTTTATAGAGCTGAAAATAAGCTTTAAAATAAGTTCTGTTAAGGGTGTGTTTTTTTTTATTTAAATCAAATAGTTTTATGAGTGCCATTTCCACCAAAATTGCAATTAATCGTATTTCATCAAGAATTAACTTGGTTCAAGAGATTCTAAAATATCACGTAAATTGAAGCACAGTAAAAAAGCTCACAGGTTACACCCTTTTTTCTCTTCATTTGCTGCACTAATTTCATTGATCGTAGATAGAATAGTGCACATATGAACAGGATTTGACCAATCAATTCACTTAAAATATGAACTTAAATAATAATGTACATCGAATTATTATTAAGAAAAATTAATTTCAATATTATTATTACTGATAACAATTAATATATAATAGAAGATTATAGGAATTATAAGCAACATTATTGAAGCAATTATTTTGAGAGAAAAAATCCAAGGGGATATTATACCTTTACCGCGGTAACTATGCATTAATTCTTTGTGAATTCGTTGATGTTTAAAAGACTACAATTTCCAATACGTATATCTTATGCTATAAATCACAAAGGCTATAAATTTCCATGGAACTTGGTTTAAGAGATCTTGATGGATTCTTTTTCGAAAGTGAACTGAATATGTTTGTTGAAAGAATGAATGAATGGAGTAATAAGTCAAAAATTTTAGGAGATATACAAGTAATAATGTCATCAACATATCTGTAATCAAAATAGCTGTCTATGCTGATAGAATTAAAAACTTTGGTTTCTAAATGTTGTGAAGATAATTTGGCTAGGGTTGGGGATATAGATGAGCTCATGGGAGTGCCAAAAATTCGAAAATAAAACCGCATTCTCACGAACTGGTACCAAAAACCTACTTGGTCAGGTAGGTATTTAAATTTTCACTCTTACCACCCCTCTAGTATGAAAATAGGCACTATCATTAATCTAGTAGACCATGATATCCTCCTTTCTGACAAACAATTTTGGACCTCAAACTTAGATTTAATTATCAAAACCCTCTCACAAAATTCCTATCCCCCACATCTTATAAAATCCGTCACAAACAATAGACTCACTATTTTAAAAAACAAAGTAATTAACCCCAACCTGAGTTTAATTTCCACAAAAGATAATAGTTTTGAAGGTACCATTTGCTGCCTTACATCAAGGAACTTTACTCGATGTGGAAAAAACTTTTTTTTACGCAAATCTCCGTTTAGTATGCAACATCGAATTAACGCTCAATTACCTCAAATTTAAAGCCGCGCACTAGTTTGGAAAGAGTATCCAATGTGGTCTATAAAATATCTTGCAATGACTGTGATTCTATCTATATTGGCAAAACAGGACAGAACCTTATCAAACGTTTGAAACAACGCGATAATAACGCAAGAAACAAAAATCAAGTGCAAACAATGATCACAGAACATTTAAAACTAAATAACCCTACGTTCAATTTTCATGGCGCAAAGGTTCTTCATCATAAGTCGATAGTCTCATAAAGACGCTTTTCAGAATCGGCTTATATTTTTTTGAACAAAATTTGTTTTAACAAACGAACAAACACCAGCTTCATTTGCGAAAATTACCAATATGTTCTAAATCTAAATGATGTTTCCCAATTTCTATCGAATACTTAACACCACGGTTTGCACAACACTATCACGCACACTTGCACAGCGATGGTCAGTTACGACCACATGTGATTGTTTTTTCTTAAAATTTTGACTTCGCATCTCGGATACTTACAAAAACATTATTCTTGTTTGGCTTTGGCCTCAGATACACAAGTGCTTACGTATAATATTTTATTAATTAATTATTTTTACATTACATTTGGTGCTTGTTTCCAATTATTAATTTTTTACAAGCTGTATTAATATGCGTAAGTGATAATCTAAGAAATTCAAGTAAGTAATGTTTTATGCATTATTTTAATTTAAGGTTTAGATAGAATTAGTCTGTCTGTCTGTCTCTTTAGTTAAATTTTTCTTTTTATTTTTGCTTATGTATATTTAATTTTCAACGTTAATTTCTGTTTTTTTCAAAATTGTAGAACCACTGATGATGACGTAGAATTTTACGTCGAAACGTATGGAAAAATAAAGATGTTTTAAAAAATCTTTACTTATTTATATTTTTTACTTGATGTTACGCCCTCTCAGAAATTAATCATACATTAATTAACATGAAATTTAAACACTTTCATATATATATATATATATATATATATATATATATATATATATATATATACTAGATGACCTGACAGACGTTATCCTGAACCCACATCTACGTTTTTTCAATATCCTATACTAATAATTATCGTTTATATAAAAATAATCATTATTGTTTTTTTAATTACTATTTACACAAATATATGAGTGATGTTAAATGTAGAACTGCTTCAAATAAAATGATGATTCTCAATTCCCACAGTTAACACTTTGATTATCCCTTTAACACATATTAAAATATGTTCAATAAAACTGTATATTAAAAATTATACACTGCAATTTTTAGTACAAATTTTATTTCCAATAGCTCAATTTATTTTAATGCCAAGGGTTATACAATTTTTTAGTCATACCTGTAGATGTGGATGTATAAATGAATGATTTTTTGTGACTGACAATGACTAAAACATTGATTTTCCAAATTTATCACACAAAAAATCATCGTCTGCCTTTGTGATGTATAGCATAAGATATACGTATTGGAAAATGAAGTCTTTTAAAAGGTATAACGAATTCAGAAAGAATTAATATATAGCATTCGCGTTAAGGATACACTATCACCTTGGATTTTTTTACCCAAAATAATTGCACTCTTTAAACAATTATAACTCTATCAATATTTGTGTAACAGAAAAATAATAAAAAGCCTTTATATGTATCTTTTTTTCTTTCAATAATATAATAATGAGAAATTGGTTGTTTTTTTTCTAAATAGATTTTTTTTTTCATGAAATCATGAACTTTTTGGGAATCGTTTGTACTAAAGTTGTGGTATTTTCTAGAATTCATCAAGATCTCTTAAACCAAGTTAATTCTAGATGAAATACGATTATTTTTAATTTTGGTGAAAATGGCACTCATAAACTATTTCATTTAAATGAAAATGTATGAGTCTCTTATCTGCAAGATAGCTCACTCATTTTACACGCAGAAGTACTATTTAACTTCCCGTAGAGTAAGTTATTGTAATGGGCCGAAAATCTAAATTGAAAATTTTCACATTTCTCGAAGTTTTGAACATTTTGGCATACCTCAGAAAAAATGGATGTGTGTGTGTGTATGTATGCATGGATACAAATTTCCAGTCACGTTTTCGGGCGCACGGATCAACCGATTTGAATGGTTCAAAAAACATTCGATTCCTATTTATAGAGAGATGAGCTGATTAGTTTTTGGCAAAGGCAGGTCCAGCAATTACGGAGATAAAGAAAAAGAGTGCAGAAAATAGAAATCGAGTTCTTGAGAGAACGGAGCATCCGATTTGAA